AAACCACTTCCATTTTATGAGCGGAAATTAGTGAAACGGTCTGAGCTGCATCTCAGTTATCAAACCTAACAGCCAGATGTTTCCTGATGCTGTGGCTGAGCAGAGAAGGGTAAAATAAAATCATGTACGTTTGTCAGCGGCAGCAACACTGGAGTTGTTGTTACTGTGGTATAGAATAGAAGATGCAGCACTAGTGTAAAATTCCTAAATCTCCATACGAGATAAAGTTTAATTGTAAAGCCTTTAGATTCTCAGACTTGACGTGTCGTTCTGCACATGAGGTATGAACTCATAATAATTAGACCCGGTCTGGTTCTATTCTCAGCCCTGTTAAAAACCTGACTTGACTACAGTCAGTTTCTCTGACAACCTGCTTAAACAGGGAGCCAAACCTGTGAAGTACTGCGTATATTTTTAGCGCTTGGTGTCAAGGAGGTTCGAATAGCAGATGGGTGCAAGATGAGGTTGTGACTGAACTCTACCTTCATCGCACAACATCAAAATCACACCTTCATGACTTGCCAGGTGCAAAGGAATTCGCAAAGGATAACTTCCCTTCCATGCATTTATATACAAGACAAATCAGGTCAAATGACCAACCTTGAGTACAGACCACGAGAAGAAATAATCATCTAAGTAATGCTGCTGAAAGTCAGTATGCATCTGGTATAAAGATGACTGAATGCACTGTCCTCTGTCCATGGCCAGATGTACGAAGGATGGGTTAATTAAATTAGTATTTACAGAATAACATGTGACCCTACTGTACATACTTGGTATCCATCTTACTATGTTTATCTAATGGTGTTGGGTTTTTGTTTTCTTTTTAGCCATTAGCTTAGTTAGCTATTAATCTAAGAAATCTATATTCCTTTATATTTCATAAATGCTACATTTCCAGTAGAATATAATCATGTAGGATTGTATTCTACATGTTTATATTTTTAAATAATAATAATAATTGTAGTGCCGCAAAAAAAAACCAACAACAACAAAAACAAAAAAATAGCACATGTTGCTTCTAAAAGCAAAGCAAAGTGTGTTGAGGTAGCAACTTTCTGCTTGCTTGTGCGGTTGTGGTGAGCTTTAAATGCTAGTGCAACTTTAGGTTGGTAGAATGTTCACATGTGTTGTATTATTCTGGTTGATTTAGCTGATACTACACTTCTGGATCAGAAGTTTTATCATTACTGTTCACAAAACAAACAGTCCAGACTCGAAAAATAGAAAATGATCAAAAATGAGGTCATAAAATGGTTTTGATATTCATTTTCAACTATTTTTCATTTTCCTTCGACAAACATTTATATATTTTCAAAGCCAACACAAAACTGTTGCATGTGCTCCACGTCAGAAAATGGGGACTTGCGTGCACTTTGAGTTCTCATACTGTCTTCATGATTTAGGCTTATTCCCCCAGAGAAAAACAAAATTAAAACAGTCTGTGTAAATCAAAAAGTTAAATTTGACTTTTATTATGAGTCTCTCAGCGATGACTCAGAGTGGGTTCAAACTCTTCCCTCTGATACAACGTTGGGCTGTCATTTGCCACGTTGCTATGACGTAAGTCATCACAAAAGATTGACCACATTATGACATCTCACAAATACCAAAAATTCTTCACATAGCTTCACTTCACTTTGAAAGACTATGATATAAACAGAGAAGACAGATGGAGAATTATATTAGGGACAACAATTCAGTTTCACTTTCCAAACACAGCTCTTTTCTATATAAGCAAGATGATGCAAACAATGTTAAACTTATTATTTTAGTGTCGGTTTTCATTTTTAAAACATTTCAATATGAATTTAGTTTCAACAAATCATATGCAGATGATGGTATTGTATTCACTGCAGATATTTGAGTGTGCCAGTGGGAAAACAAAGCAAATGAAATTATTTATTATTTATTTATATGTTATTTGCATGACATATTGTATCTGTTTCAACATGTTTGTTTTTTATTTTCATAAATCAGTGCAAAAATATTTCAGCAACTGGAAAAAAAAATCAACTGCCAAACAGCTGCAGACATTCTGCAATATGACACTTTTTTTAGCCTTCATCTGTTTAGTAGTGTTTCGACACAACAGCTCTCTTGCATATTAGCATTTTTGTTAGTTACATGTTTTTTGTTTATTAAGCATCAATTTGATCAAAGCTAAAACAGCTCAAAAACAAACAAAAGGCATGGTCTATGAAGGTCGCAAGGGAGACGTGACATGGAACATGCTTCGTACCCTAAATGGCTCTGGAAGTAATTGTTCATCATTTTGAGCTGAGCACTTCTAATCTAACAGATTTACATCCAATTTACAGATAAGCACTAAGCGAGAACATATCCAAGCACATGTTCTGCTGTTGACATAGGCCTTTTCCCTTGTATTCGTGTGTGTGGTGCTGCTTTGTTGTGAGTGAGGGGCAACAATCTGAGAAAATGTGCCAAGGGTTCAGTTGGATACTGGCAAGTCGTAGAAAACGGTTCATGGGAAACGGCCATGTTTTGGAAGGGAAAATAAACGTGCCTACAGCTGTCACACTGGCCGTTCTCCACGGACGAGTTAGCACAGATGTAGTGTGCGACAAGCATGTGTGTGTGTGTGAGAGTGTGAATGTGAGCCTGTAAACCAACCACAGCCTCCATCCTAAGTATTTGCCTTTGGGCCTCGTCTGAGCTCCATAGTAAATCCAGCACATTAAGTAAATTAAGCAAAAACAACGGGGGAACAACGTTGCAGTTAAGACCGTTTGCAGCAAATCCTGTTAGCATTGATTCATGCCTGTTCAAATCTCTTTGTCTTTACCTTATTAGCATTGGGCTCACATCTCCTTAGACTCGGTGACTGCACAAATTCACTAGACATCTGGAAATCAAATCTTACATCCTGGCACAAAGACACCAATGTTAAACATTGGTGTCTCAGAGCCAATGGAAACGACTATAAGTACTGGTGCAGAGATGGACACATGTATGACTTGTATCTATATTTCCATGCTGTACAGCAGCTGCAAGGCTAATGGTTTCTCAGCAGCTGTGAAAGTTTGTCCTAAATTATCTTGGAGTTGTATACAGTTGTGGGCCTCTCATATTTTAAAGTGATAATTTCTTCACAGGACAAAGAAATGAGTCTGTGGTCAAGCAAAGTTTAGCCTAATGTCACAACATCTAACGATGTAAACAGTTAATTTAAACTACTTTAAAAAATGTTTTCAGCCTATGTGGAGATAAATTAGGTTTTCGTTTCCGTTTGTATTAGGTTCCCATGAAGATAAAGTCAGCAAAAAGGATATAAAACAAAGTTACAGGATAGAAATGATGGCATACTTAAGTTTGATGGAGTGTCGTAGATTGAAAACTTGTTTGTCAGGTCGACTGAATGAACATCCAGTTTGTTGCAGAAAGAAAATAAATCTGTGTACGTTCCGGTTTCTGCTTTTTAAACCTTTTACTCTACAACTAATGACTTGATAATGACAGGGTGTTTCAGCCGGAGGTTATGAGGTCTCCCGGTGGCACTATATAGTGTTTCCATTAAGCTCGCTCTCTTGGCCTTTCTCTCCGTGTCCCCTCAGCCTGTGTCTCTCCGGGGAAGCTCTTCACAAGTTCCCAGGTGGCTTATTTACACGACAGCCAGTGTCCCCTTAGCAACCCCTTCATTGGGAGCAGTGGACTGGCTCGTGGTGTCACATTCAAGTCCTGTTATCGTGCTCAAGTGGAGCCGTTTTAGTGAGCCCTGGGATACTTCAAGAGGGACAAAATCTGAAACGGAAGGTGAGCAAAGTAACGAATCAGAGAAGAGACAAAAACTTCAGAAGTGAGACGGTTAAGGAAAAACAATAATAAACCTGGTGAGGAGAGGTGGGTCTGACAAAAGAGATAAACACAAAAAAGGTGTCTGACTGCCGACTGTTGCTCGAACGAGACTCTTAAAGGTGCAATCTACACATGTACTAAGTCTTCTGGACGTTCCAGGACGTGCCATGTATTTACAGCACCTCCTTGATGCCCCCATATTGACAAAAATATATAGTAGGCATATAGTAGGCTGTCTACCTACAGCACCTCCTGCACAGAGTTGGCGCTTGCCATTTTGGTACTCAGGGCAAGATTGTTTTTTTTTTTTTCTAATCTCCTCCACCCACGGTGACCAGCTAAATGCCACATGCCCCAAGTTAGCGCTTCTCTAGAAATAACAGAATTGTGTATCTATCTAACTGTATAAGAAATAACATGAGAGGGTCCTATAGAGTTACTGAAAGACAAGAAAGTGCTAAAAATAAAATTAGAACTTTAGTTTAAAAAAATAAATAAAAAGAACTTGAAAAGCACATCCAAAGAGCTCAACTGCTCATCAAAAGTTAATTTATAAAATGTCCTGTTTACTTGTTAATAAAACAGGTGGAACTATAAAAACTGTAATTTAAATTTTTGCTATGTAGCGTAAAAAAACAAAAACATTATCCAGATGGTGTTTGTGCTGAAATTATATAATACCTAAAAATAATCTTTAAATACTGTATCTTTACATCTTGGACTGTTGGATTGTGTTGTACTTTGGGCCATCTGCCGCCTCCCTGCAGAAGATGATTTAGCGTCTGCTGTCAGGTGCACGTCATAGACCAAGTTTAGAACCCTTTCTGCTCCAACCATTATTACTATGAATGAGAAGTGAAGTGGCCTGCCGGCAGATAAACAAGGAGGTGCCAACCAGAAATTGATTGGCGGAGTGCTACATCTGTCACAAAGCTAAACAGAAGGTGATTGGACAGAGCACAGAGAGAGAAAGTAATTCTGTTTTGTTTCCTTTAGAAAAGAAAAGAAAAAACCCTGGTCTTTGTTCATTTCTCTCTTCATGCATTTCTCCATAGTTTAATATTCCAGGAAACTTTATCTCTCCCGATGTGGTGTTGTTTTTTTGTTTTTGTACTTTTTTTTTCCAACTGCTCCCTATTTCTCATTAGGTGAGATGCATATATTCACACCCTGGAGCTTTGCAGTACAATTAGTTTCTCTTCTTTCAGCAACTGAGCAGCTGCAGTAGAGCAGGTGGCACGAAAGTGCTTCTAAAGCTCAGCCTCACAGTAGGAGGGAATAATTATTCACCTGTCTGATCTAGATTTCACCACTTATGATTCCAGACTTCATTTAACCATGACTGAGGGAAAGGTCCTAAAAATGTCTGTATGTTTCTATACATAAAGTATATATACTTCATATTTAAGGCCACATGTTGGAAGAGTGGTTAGTCCTCATCACTGACATCAAGAAGATCACTGGTTTGTTCTTGGTGGTTACTGATGGTCGCTAGTACTACTGTCTTTGCCAATGGCCAATAGATGTGATCTTGAGTTTGATTGGTTGATTGTCTCTTTATGTGATGGCAAACTTTCACAGTGTATGCATCGCCCATCCATTGCTTGGACTGATTCCAGTTCTTTAAGAATGTGTTAAGAAAAATAAAAACATTGATAAAAACAACAGTGACAGTCACCTGCTGGACACTCCAGGTTATTACTAGGTTTGATACCTAAACTGCCTTAATTGCCTTGCTTTTTAAAGCCAACATTCTTCATGTTTTGCCATCAAATTAAAATGTTAGTATATGGGTGGATAAATTGAGAAAAAAAAAGTTTTTTTGACACATAATTGTATACATTGAATATTAAAAAAATTGAATTTTTAATTGCACTATTCCTGAATGGTACTAGTTTGAATGGAAACTATTAAATTGTTTCTGTTTACTTAAACTGTTTGGCACCAACAGGGCAATCTAACTTTTATAAAAAAAAATATTTTGCCCTGGATTCTACTCTGTGTCTTAACAGCAAAATATTAGAATTTTATTTTTAAAACGGAACTATTTTAATGACATAAAACACAGAGCATGTACCACTAATGTATGAATAAATAAATAAAGTACAGACATGAATAAAAAAATCAATTTCCTCCCATCTTCAATGAGTTATTCCCTAATGAGCACTACAGAAATTGTACTATCGAGTCCTTTAGTTTTCAACCTTAAGCTGCAGGTATGACATTCATAATTTATCATCATTAATGGCTACCAATTTTATACTCAGAAAGATTATTGGAAAGTGAAACTTCCGACCCGTCAGTAATAGTTTTATTTATTATTAAGCACAATGGTATTTCCAAATCCCACCTCTACACCCCAAAAATTCTCTTGATAAATGCTGCAGAGCTTTAGTAAATTATTCAAAGAAAACCATTAGCTCCAATTGATTAAAGTTTGTTAACCTGTGTATTAATCTGTGTTTCTGACTGGCCTTTTACGTTTATTTCTGCACCTAAGACAGATGAAAGCGCAGTCAGGGCTAAGTCAGCACCACAGCACCTTAAATATTCACTGAACCTGGACTATTATTAATTAAAGTGAATGTCCTCATGTGCCCTGAAAACCATACCATCTAATAAAACTTTATCTAGACCTCAGCAAACAAAAATGAAAGAATGCATGTATATATATATATATATATACGTATATGTATATATGTGTGTATGTATATATATTCTATATTGTATGTATGTGTATATATTTATATGTACTACTTAAAAATATATATATACATATATACTGTATATTAATTAAAAGGCCAACAGGTGGCGTTTTTTTATCTTCTTTCTGATTGATCACAGTGTTTCCTCATCCACATTGTATATTCAACATAAATTGCTCCCCATATGGATTTGTTTAAAAAAATCGATCAATCAACTACAGCAAACTGTATACCATACATTACACCAAGTTCCTGAACGCAGGGTTAACCAAACACTTCCAGACAGTGACCTACTGTACAGTATGGTTGAAGGTTTGAAGTACTGCTTGTGTTCATCAATACAAACACTGATAGTAGGGACTCGGGTGGTAACAGTGAGGTGCAATACACCTTTCTCTTAGAGCAGTGACGGCATCACTGCCAATGTCTCATAATGTAAATGCAAATTCACACTGGTTCCTGCTAAGATGCACTTAAATGCAACTGGCATTATGCATTATGCTAGTGCAAAGGTACTATAGATACTGAAAAAGCAGGTGAGAGAGATACACTAAAGTATGAGCCACAGCACTGCACAGTACACAGTGATGGTAAACATACAAGTCATACAATATGGTTTGTTGACTGTTTCACCCATAAATAAGAGTCAAACTGCTGCAGAAGAACCCGTTACCTCCAAAAAAATGCAACCTAGCTCTGAAGAAGACAAATAAAACATGACATCCCTGGGCTCTATTAAAAACTCTATTGTAAAGGTTTTCTCATGGTGGAGGCGAGGACAAGAGGCATTGATAAAAATGATGTCAGTTTGGAACAACAAGGCCCTAGAGATGAAACAAGAGTGTACGACTTTACACTGCCTGAGAGGAGGCGTTTAAAATGAACACAAGAGTTTGATGTCCTGCCTCAGTGACGGAGAGCAGGTCACTGTGCTGTGTGTATTAGGATGGAGTCCTGCAACCTTTCCGCTAATAAGATGTTGTGGTCGACCAATAAAGCACTTTTTCACCTCCGAGGCAGCACGACTTTCTATTTATTCCTCAAAAGTCATCAGATTGACATTCACATCAAACATCCACAGGGGGCAGCAGTCGATGATGTCAACAGTCCCCAGATGACAGGCTGATGGCAGCCCCCGATAACTTTTCTTTGGAAAACAACAAAACATCGATGGAATATCTTTTATGTCTAATGTCTTTTCGTATTTCACGTTATTGGCATTTTTAAATTACTCTTTCAAAATTAATTCCTCTGCTAAAAAAAAAAATAAATAATGAGAAGAAAACACAATTAAAGCCCCTGATAAAAAAAGCGAAAATCAATCATCTAGTCATTGTTGACAGAAAACTTAGTTATTTGAATCTTTAGCTACATTTCTGTACTTCAATCTGCCTGTGACTGATGACCATAACTGTGCTGCAGATGCTTCAAGTAAACTATTGATCCAGAAGCAAAAACATTGTGTTGACAGAGAACAATTTGTTCCATTTTGTGGAAATGCTTTATATTCTTGGCTGAGTAGCAGAAAAAACAGTTTTAACAAAACAGCCTACTGTTAATTTCACAAAAAGGAATTAAAAATAGCCATATGGTCAATACAGGCGCACTCTCACACTGATGCATCAGTGGAGCTGCTCTCTGTTTTCCTCTGCGACAATTTTATGTTTTAAGAACCAAGTCTGCTGAGCCTCCAGAGACAGATGTGTGTGTCTTCTTCCCTGAACTTATGGCACGTTGTTCCACTGAGGGCTGACCAAGGGCTTAAGTGCAAAATTTCTAACTTTATTAAAGACAGAAAATTCTGACGTCCTCAAAGGCATCTCTACAAAAGTGCAGGAACTTTAAGCTCCACATTTCAGTACACAAAGATTTAATTTTTTTCATTTCACATGAAGATTTAGCAGGTTCATCAAACCGTTAGCGACACAATGCAAACTAAATTCAACACCTAGTCGATGATGAAGCAAGAAAATGTGGTTTTAGCTGAAAAAACAAAACAAAACACTAAAAACAAAAAGTGGTTAAAAAGGTTAATTGGTAGAAAAGCCCTTAAAAAGATCAGAAACAATTAAAATAGGTTAAAGGAATTTTTAGGTCAAAGCCAGAACTTAGCAAAAGAAGCAATAGTAGATTCTTGCCAAGTTAGAGCAGAGTATGCTAAATGCTAGCTAACATATATAAATATAGCTTAAAGATAATAAAAAAAATATGTTATTGTTAAACATGAGTGAAAATGTACTTTGAAAACCTGTTAAATTCAGCCTGAAAACTTTTCCATTTACAGTACAACACAAATGACCAACTGGAAATTCTAACGTCGTCACCACAACAAGGGAGAAGAACAATCGAATACTTGTGCAACATATTTGGCTATTCAACGGCTCTGTGGAGTCGAGGTCCCAGCTCAGTGTTATGTTGAAACTTCACAGCTGGTCTTTATTTCATGTTTCTGTAAGTGGGCAGCTGGGATGTAGAGTCTGATGTCAGTTGGAGGAGAAATGGAGGTGATGGGATGAGAGTGAACTGCACAGGAGGGAGTCCCAGGATGGGAATGTGCATGAGTTTATCAAAAGTTTGTCAATTTGCCTGCACAATAGGTTGAAGTGAAAATTACATGGTTAAACTCTCCCTGTATTATTACAAAATGCTCATTATCTGCAGTGTAATGTGAATGTAATACATGGAATTTGACCTGTTTCAAGCCAGAGAGAAATACTTTAGATAATCCCTAAATTTCTCCCTGTGGAGAAATAAAGTTATGAATATGAAAATCAACAGCTAATATTAGCTAAAGATGGGTTTTATATTGAAGATATCACTGAGGTAGTTACATCTGAGCCTTTTAAGTTTTTTTTTTTAGTTTTTTTTTGAGTAGTGGAATGTTTTGAAAAACAAAACAAAACAATGAATTTGGACTTTTACTCTCACTTTAGAAAAGAACTAATATGAAGATATCTTTCATTTACCTGGAAGTGGAGCCATGTTGTGTCTTTGATTCTTTTAATTACTCCAGTTGAGCTGCTTGCCCCTCACACCAGATCTCTGGACGTGATGAAAAGCCTACGGAAGAGAAGCCAGATGAGTGGGAGTTAGAGCTGAGCTCCTTAAATTCTGAGCTCGATACGCTTAAATCAGTACTGATGATTTAAGGGCCATTCCAGATGTGTTCTTGGTGTTCCACAGGGCGAGAGAAAACAACGAGAGCCAGGGGGAAACCTAAAAAATACAAGCCAACATTATCATGTACATCAGTGAATCACTTATTTGCAAAACACCAAATCAGCTCTTTGTTCTGTCAGACCAGAGCTGTGTGATGGTGCTGCAGCATGTGCGGCATGATTGCAAGGCCATATCATGTGGAAAGATCCCGGTATCACATCTGTGTGCAACGACAGGAACCTTTTTTCCACCACGTACTTGACTGTGTGAGAATAAAAAAATAACACAGCAGAGGAAAGACTAATAACTGTTCCCAGGACTTTTTAAGCTGGGCAGCGGAGCAAGGACACAGCAATGATAATAAATTAAAGTGAAATTGAATGTGATGACACGGTGGAACAACAAGTTAAGTGTGAACAAAGACATAATCCAATTTAGCAGCGCAGGGAGAATTGTTTAGTACTGAGTGACACCAAGCCAACATTAATTTACTTGAATTTGATTACCATAAAGAGAGAAAAAAGTGTCAGTTTAAGGTCATTAAGACAACAGTGAAAATGATCAAGACTCAACGGTGATTAAAAATAAATCTCTGAATGAATTAATCACGCATGATGATAATTAAGATGAACTATTGATACTATTCTATCTTCAAAATTTTTGTTTGGACTAAAATAAAGTATAAGTATTAACATGCCCATGGGTCAACAACAGTTCTGACAATTCAATTTTAAACAACATAAACTGATGTTACTACCAACGTAACGACCCTAGTGGTGATTGAATGGTATTGCATTTGTACAGCTCTCAGATGAGCTCCAACTGTACAATATACCACAATTTAAAACAAAGGTAAGCAGCTCAAACATTTACAAAGATCTCAGAGTGAAATGTATCTGCGTTGATAAATACCATTCTCCTCAGTACGTCCCACTGGGAGAACATCCTAGGACATGAAACATGTGGAATGGGTTATGTGTCTCCACTGCCTTGGGAACAGCCTAATATTCCCATAGGACATCTGGAAAACTGCTTATGAATATTCAAGAGCTGTTGTGGGAGGAGCTTATGTTAATGAAAACCAATAGAAGCCTTGGAGTCAAACAGAAACAAAACCAGTATCTTTGTATTTTGGTTTTGAAAATCTTTGAAAAAAGCCAATAACGATACTGCAGCACCACCACCATCAGCAGCTTTAAAGCTTATCATTCATCACTGAGACATGTGTGTCAAACATATCTGAGCAGTAGTCGCTCATTATCCCAGCATGCAACTTGCCTTGTAGCGATAGGAGACAAATACAGTACATACAGAAGCATTTGGTGGCTCAGAATCTTTCTTATCACTTCTGTTGACTGTCTCGTCTACTGGTAAGTGTTGTGTTAACGTCCACTGAACTAACATTAGTAATAAACAGCAGAGACCAGTTTAAGCTTCATCTAAAATTGTCTCCTCAGTGCTACAGCAGGCCCAGATGGCAACGTCCGTTAAAAAAAAGCTTGCCCTCTTTGCTACAGCGAGCTAGCTGCTCCCCGCCGAGCGCTGCCGCCCGGCTCAAAGCGACACGGCACAGAGGCTTCACTTCACACCTTTAGTGAAACAAGCTACCCTTAAGAGCCGTTGGCTACGCAGCAACTGTTCATTACAGAAGAACGGGGCTGCTGGTTAGAGGGAGCGAATGCGCGACCTGTTTGACACATTTCACCGTGGGTATAATTGCATTTCCTGTTTCCCTGTTGTTTCATTTCAGAGAAATGCCAAAGCCATTCCAATTAAACCGAGGGTGACGATGTTTTTTAGCACAGTTTCTCATTCTCCTTTGACCGTGAGGTGTGTACACACACACACACACACTCACTCACAAAAATACCTCTGTTTTAATCTTTTTGGCACACACACTGGTCAGTGATGCATGAGCAGGTCCATCCAACTGTCTGTACAGGTTGTAGGTCAGTAAATATATTTTTCTCCTGACACTCACTACTAAATTATGCACAAACCAACAAAATATTTTTTTCTTCTGCTGTAAATATTTTTTTTATAGCAGCGGGGATTTTTGGCCTAAATTAAGCTTTCATCTTGGCTTTTCAAATATCAAGTTTTCCACAAATCTATTTAGCTACAATATTTGGGCTTGTGTTACAGGCTACATTGGAATTTTTGCCAAAACAGCAAAATAAAAAAAGGAGGAAAAGTGGAGGAGTACAAAAGTTTAAACTAGCTAAAAAAAACCATATAAACAAAATATATATAACATATTTGCTTATGTAGGAGGTGCAGGATAAAATAATAATGTGAATGTAATGATGTAGCTCTATTATTGTAGTAGAGTATTAGGAACACATGGAGGAAAAAATAAAATAAGATTAAAGTGGGAAATTTATGAGAAAGTCATAAGTCATAATGTTATTAGAGAAATGACTCGCAAGATTACGTCACAATCCCTTCATTTAATTAGTTTTTTATGCTCAATGTGTCTACTTTTTTATATTGTATTTTCTAAAAGCTGATGCTAGTCCAGTTTTTTAATTAAAATAAATACATTTTAAAAAAGGTCGAGTACTCTACAACTTGCTCACCCCATTACAACTAGAACTCTTTCATTACCAAACAGTCATTTCCAATGAATAATCTTTAGTCCATTTTTCTGCTGTGTGCTGTGCTAAAAGATAAGTGATGAGCGTGTTCTGTGTTGATCTACAGCACACACGGGCCAACTGGCGCAGCTGCTTCTAATTAGTGAACACACTATCTGAAAAAATCCAAATCCAGAGGAAACTGGCACGCAAGAATTCCATGAAAGCTTTCCATCACTAACAGTGAGAGGCTCTGGTTATGAGCCCGGTGTGGAAAACCCTGGACGGAGGAAGAAAACTGATGAGGTCACAGCTCTGTCAGCCATGGTTGTTTTTGTCTGTCAGGACGACTGACTCCTTATATCATTTTAGTCTACAGGATGTTAGGAGTTGTTCTCAGTATGATCCTGTTAAAACACTATTTTTATTCTATCTATCTACCCTAACCCTATAGGTCAGGGGTGTCAAACACATTTTCCACTGGGGGCCACATCAGCAACACAGTTCCCCTTAAAGGGCTAGTTGTAAATGGAAAACTGTATAGATCAGGGGTCCCCAACCTCCGGCCCACGGACCAGTACCAGTCCATAGGTCATTTAGTACTGGGCCACTGTGAGACACAGTGAAAAAAAAATTACTTTATTTTTACTAATTTGCTTAATTCAAAGAAAATGCAGTTAGTTTTAAAATAATTTTAAATATTTTAATGCATCCTTCTGCAGTTGATTATTATTTATTTAAGCTACAAAAATTGTTCATTGGTGTGTAATAAAAAACGTAATTTCTCAAGTTAAGAAACTCTGCTGCTATGTGGGGCCTCATTTGGCCCCCGTGCCTTAAGTTTGACATACGTGCTGTAGAGGGACAAAGGCAGTATTACCAACACAACTGGATATAAGACGGTTGGAATAAATGAATATGTTAAATCCACAGGGAGGAGGAAGCTGTCGCCAGTCGACGCCACTGACTGACATGTTAATATCATTTGTCACCACAAAGAGGAGGAGGACACAAAACATTGACCTCATTCTTATTCAGGTTAAAGAAAATATTTGAAGGACTTTCAGTAAACATACTGTTCATATATCTGCTGTATTTATATACAGTATTTACCGTGTACACATACACAATGTAATTTGATGCCAAAAAGCTGTGTACTCCATTTTGGATATTTAATCCTGGGTAACAAGGGCTTCATTTTGGATCAATAGAGCTGATGAATGGGTTTGATGAATTGATGCATTTTTGAACTGTGTTTGTTGTGCTGCTTCATTTTAATTCTAAGTGATGTGGTGAAAAACTTTACAAGACTTCAGATGTAAATTTCTTATTCAGCCTAATCTGCTTCAGATCATAAACTTTAAGTATTACTACTATTTAAAGCAATGAATGACTTCCATTCCCTTCATCATGTGTGTGTATGGAGTCTGCAGGAGACATCACAGAATGACAGAGCTGATTCGAATCCAAGTTTGGGCCATTTTGTAAACTGTACACACAAGAGAAAACAACCTCCAGTTTCTTCTTCTCCTCTTCTCTTTTTCAGCCAGTTCCTGTAGAAGTTACAGCGTAAGATCATATGGTTCAGGACGGCTGCAAACAGTACCTGAGGATAGGTCATAAAAATTAGATTAGATTATTTTTTAAAAAGCTAAAAAGGCTAAATGTTATGGAAAATGTACCAGAATGGAATATACCAAATAAATAAAATTATTCTCAAGTAAACCTAAATGTATAAAGCATTACAGCACTAAGAAGAAAATACAACATATATATGTGTATATATATATATATATATATATATATACATTTGTTTTGCTCTTTTCAGATATTCATCCAATCAGAAGCTGATTTGTTCCAGCAGTCAGTTGGAACTGAAGAAGCCTCCTGTCCTGTTGCCTATTACTTCACTGCTTTAGACAGAAATGGAAAATTAGCCAAAAGATAGTTACAACATACTGGCCTGGAGAAGAATCTGTTGAAAATGATTCAAAAATTACAACATAGTTCTGTAGATTCAAAATACCATTGACATGACTAATCATCATGAGAATGACACATGAAAAATCTAATGGGCCTCATAAAATCTGTCCTTTTGGCAGAACTGGCCTCTATTTTTTTGACATGTCTCCATGTAATGACTATGTCTTAGAGGTGAAATAACAATGACTTCCACTACGACCTTGTTTAACCTATTCTCCTGGTCTTACAGAATATCCCAAAGACTTTGAAGACTGTTAAAATATGTCGTTAGGAAACTGGCTGGAATTCCATGAGACAAAGATTGAAATGGAAAGGAAAGATGAAGACACTCATCATCATTCATCGAGACTGCCACAGTGTCATGCCACTAAAAGACAGAAGTGATTACTTGCATGTGGTCTCCGCACCGCCGGCAGAAGCCTGCTGACAATAGTAGCAACAAAGACCTCGCAGACGGCCGAAGTGGGTCTGACGCTGCTTTTCCATTACCGCATGGCACCGGTCCAAACCCGACCAGGCAGCCGAGGGCCCTGCACAAAGACGGGACTCTGTTTACTGTGAATGCATCTGCAGCAACAGAATGAAGGATGTGTACACTACAGTACAGTAGTTGTGGTGAGCAATTATGGCCTGTAGCCCGCATGTGATTGTGTTTCCATGTTTTGTCGGAGTGCAGAAGAGTGCACAAATGGATCATGTTGCCTGGTTTGGTGCAATCAAAGGAGCCGGACCCTGCACACAACAGTGGGGTGACTTTGAACGGAAAGAAGGGGCAATTAAGTGGCTTATGGATCATACACAAGATCAAATGTGGTCCATTTGATGACTTAGAGTTGTGTCTCACGGTTTGACGGTGCAGGCCGTGACCTGGATGTTATAAATATTGACAAAAGGCAGAGACATTTAAATAAGTTCACAGCCTGGGTGGCTTGGAAAGAATAAAAATATATAAAAAAAGAACATTCCTTTGACCAGACAAGGCTGTTGTGAAGAACAATGAGAGGAAAGACTTTTCAATATTTAAGTTTGCTGTTCTTTCACGTTCATTTTCTCACTTAATTGACTGTGCGAGCCTCTCTTTACTCTGACCACATGGGTTTCCTACATCAAATTATTCACTGCATCACAAAGCCATATAAAACATTCATAAACAATCCTCAGCTGAACCCAAACGTCTCCACCAGGGGATGCTGCAGGAGTTCATAACACATTTTGATGGATTGGGGTTCTTTGTCTTTGAACTCTTTTGAGTAAAATCTGCCTAAGCATACTAATCCTCTTCATTTGCATATTGGTTAAAGGGAGAACCCATAAAATGTAGTGGGGAAAGAGCCAACAGTGCATCTTAAGTCCAGGAGATTTAACATCTCAAAGTGCTGTTTAGTTTGTAAACTCATGTCTCTTGAAATGGAGTATCATTAGTTGCTTTCTTTTTTTTTTTTCTTCTTCCCTAAAGCAGCTGATAGCCATGAGCTCATTACCTCTTCATAGCTTCATTTTTCAATACAAGCTCTTGGCCACTTTCCTGCAAGTTCTAAAGTCTTACGCAGGAAGTGTGACTTCACTTAGAGACATGAACAGAGTTTGAAAGAGCTGAGTGAAGAGAATGATAATGTAGAGACTGTTATTGTGTGGATCTCACTTCAAGGGTCAGATTAGATATAGACTGCTGTATTCTACCTTAAAAAATATAATAAGATTAAACAGGAAGTGGGCAGGGCCCAAATGCAACATAAGGGGGAGACTCTCTTCAGGTGCAACAGGTTTATTAACAAAGAGCAAAAGAACACAAACTCACTTGGTCACAAGGCATGAACTACAAACATGATCTCGAAACAACCAGACCAATGATCCCATGAAGACAGAGAGGTGTATACACCCAGGGCACCAGGTGACACCAGTGAGACTAATCACAGGGACACGGGTGAGTGTGATCACACACCACACAGTAGACAAAACAGGAAGGGGAAACAGATCCCACACCAGAGAACTCCTTGTGTTAACAGCAGATCTGCTGCAACAAGCTGCCTTGGAGGTGCCAAGTATGTGGTTCCTCTGGGAAAAGCTGTAAAATAGCTATAAATAAAGGAATCTTAGTCCAATTGTCACCAAAAAAAAAAAAAATGCCCTTCTCATTTGGCTTTGGGAACTTACGCACAGCACAGTTACCGATCATTTTTCCATGCACTTCTCAAGACTGCTGTTTCCACATATTTTCCATATATATTTACATATAAAAATGTAGAGTTTTGTCAAATTAAATCAACATCTATTTCTAATTAACTTCATAAAAAAAAGTGTTTGTTTCTTTCATTTGGTTAGCATGACACTTGACTTCTGTTACACTGTGGTATGATCTGAAGCACTGCTGTACTTCAGCATCAGGCAGATTTATTGCCTTAAGTCACCTGTAAAGGTCAAGACCTAAAAAAGCAGAATTAATTGGATCTCATGCTCACAAAATGACCTCACCTGTAATGTTTGTATTATTTTAAATGTCAATGACTTCAGATTTTTGCTAGTTTAATCAGTGTTAAAATGAACAATTTATTATTAGGTATTTTAATGTTCCCTATGTTGTTATTACCTAAGTGGATTACATTCATGGACTATCCTTCTTCACCAGATGAGTGCTAAATAACATTAAGTCAAGTGTTGTGCATGGGCCATAACTAGACCATGAATATTCTGCACAAATAAAAAAATAATAAATCAATACCTGACAATGTATTTCTTCTATTTGCAGTAACACTGGTTTCATTAGACGTGCACTGTTTGATATTAGTTTTCAATTTTTGAATATTTTATTATATTCATTACTTGTTGATTTTTCATCTAATGGTCAGTAAAAAAAGGAAAGCTGCAGTACAAGGGTGTTTCATTGTTGCTTTAAAGAAAAAAAAAAGAAAGACAGAAAAATCAGAGCAGCAAAGCACAACTGTTAAACAGAAGCAGGCACAAACTCTGGTTCTGCCCCTGAGAGACTGAGGACTGAAGAGACCAGAGCCCTCAGCGACACATCAGCAGCCACTGGGCCTGAACTTTAGCAGCTGACACCACCTGGAGGGCGGCCATTATCCTTCAGGCAGCGAAAAGAAAGGGGAAAAAAAAGTAGGCAGCTCCAGTGAGGACGCAAGTGACATTAGAAAATGACAAGATGGAGAAGTGATCTAAGCACAGCAGCAAATGGAGTGAGAGGAGAGTGATACAGGCCGACGCTGATATAAAGACTGCATTCAGAGTGGCTGTCGCTGTCTGTGGTCTAAGATTAAGTCGATAATAACTGGTTGGAATGACTGGACTTGGATGGATGTGTCACACTGGACAGCATCATTTCATTAAGACTAAAAATCAATGAAATGAACATATTTAACACTAAGAGGCACAAGAAGATAAATGGATTTTAACCATAAAAATATGTACTGTTAAAATTTTGTCTCCTGATATTTTTTCATTTAATAAATTGGGGGGGGAAATGGCATTTCACAAGGAATTTAATTATCACTTCTGACAATTTGTTGCAGATTTGATTTTTGGACATATTAAAGTGACTGAAAAGTAAATGTTCCGAAAACTTGCTATGACTTTCTGGGCATTATGTTTTCTTTTACTGTCTTTCACCAGTCACATCATTATATCACTTACTAAATGGAGAGCAATTTTTCTGTATAATTTGTGAAGGAGTAAAGCACCCACCATGAAAACATTAAGTTAAGTTTTTTTATCCACTGGATTTGTAACAACCTCTAATTTGTTGAACCTACTAGTGTAGTTTAAACAATAAAATAATTAGCAGACCTGGCTAACAGGCTTAGCTGTTCTTCCACGACCTGCCCAACTCTGCATATAACTGGTATCTTACTTATTAGGGCGTTGCCAGTGATGCCTTTATAGTCCTAGGATAACATAGAAATCACTAACATACTTTACTCACGTATTTAATAGTTTCCACCAAGCATATTTGATAAAACATCTGTTTTTTTCGTTGTTACTTCTGTATCGTCTAACTAGAGGGCCAGCAATATCAGAATGCTGGCTTAGAAGCAACTTAAAGATGTTGTAAGTGAAGCATGTTCATCCTGGAGAAGTTAGCGTCTCTATTCCAAACCAAACATCTGCTTAGGTCAAAAAAAAGAACCGTTGTTAATCCAGGATACTAGAAGTTTCAAGAACCTTCCCATGGTTTCATGTTGTTGACTTGTAATCAGCTCATGTCAAACACTCATGTAGAGCAACAAGCAATTCCACTATTCCACTCCCCTTGAAAATTCTATTATAAAAATCCATTTGTGGGACTGAAATGACTCGTTCCCTGGGGCCTTCGAATTTGTGCTGAGCAGCTCAGACCAGCAGACATGTGGCAGGTTACTGCTCAGACACAATGACAGAGGCATGGTGCAGAAATGACAGCTCGACATCTCGCCTCCACAGGGAGAGGTCACGGGGAAGGTGGTGACAATCCCCGTCTCTTCAGGCGTCGTCAGATACTGGTTGGGGAGGGACGTGCAATCGATGGGTTCTTGACAAACGACGGAGGTTTGGAGGCCAGATGACAGACTAGCAGGCCTGGTGACAAAACCAGGACGGTGTGATGGCTTTGTTTCATTAAGTTTGGACACGTCCAAGATCTACAAGAAAATATAGCTTCTAGTTAAACATATTGGATGTGTTACGACAGGTACCTATAGGGTTTGGCCTTATTAAAGGGAAGGGGATTTTTAAAAGTCCCAGGGCTCTGTGGATGAAATTAATGGATGAAATTAATGCTTTTGAATTCATAGAGATCAAAGTCTGATCTGGGCTGCCTCTATTTCTACAAAAGAACCTGAGAGTATATCACTGGGCATGTCACAATTATCAGTCAAAATACACACAATGCATTTTAACAGTCCATTGGGTTCCATAACTCTGGCTTTGACTGATACAAAAAATTTGAAAATTGTATATTTCTCTAGTTTCATTATTTGAAAAAAAAATATGATTCTTCTGTTGCTAAAACTGCTTTCAACCGCTGCATGAATAGACGACAAAAAGACAGGTGACAAATTCATGTCTCGTTCCACAAAGCCATTAAAATTTCTTAGTGTAACAAAAAAATAAGTCAACTCTCTGCTATTGAAAGAACCAATCACATCCGCCGGTGATGTCACAGTCTTCAGTCAGTGTGTGTACAGTTCACTTCTGCATCACTGTGACTCAGCAGAGCTCAGCAACAAAAACCTCTCAGAGGAAACAAACAGAACAAAAGAACATCCACAATTACAGTCGGGAACTATTATTAAATCTAAATTAAAATAGAAACACCGCATTACTCTTCTGAAAGTAAATAATGATGCAGAATATGAATGATATTTGTGTTGCTGAACACAAATTTCATCTCCTAACTATAGCGGGCATAATTAAAGGCTGGGAACTGAAAGGCGTTTCATTTCTTGGTTCTGAAAATAAAATGTTTGATAAAAACAAAACTTAAAGTTGGCCAAAACATAACAGTTTGACTGAGCTAACAGTTAACTTCTACTGGTGGAAA